GATTCCACAATCAACACCAATGGAAGCAACAGTCAGGACATCAAAAGGTGTATTGCATTGGGCAAATCAGCTGCTAAAGACCTCTTTCAAGTGATGAAGAGCAAAGATGTCTCCTTTAAGCCTAAGGTGTGCCTAACCCAAGCCATGATATTTTCAGTCGCCTCATATGAGTAAGGAAGACCAAAGAAGAGTCGTTGCTTTTGAGTTGTGGTGTTGGCGAAGAATACTGAAAGTACCATGGACTGCTAAAAGGACTAACAAATCTGTCTTGGAAGAAGTACGGCCAGAATGCTTCTTGGAAGTGAGAACAGCCAGACTTCATCTCACCTACTTTGGTCATGTTGTCAGAAGGGACCATTCTCCGGAGAAGGATATCATGCTTGGTATCTGGAGGGTCAATGAAAATGGGGAAAGCCCTCAAAAGATGAATTAACACAGTGGCTGCAACAATGGGCTCAGGTATAGCAGCGGTTGTGAGGCTGGCTAGCCAGGACCAGGCAGTGTTTCGTTCTATCGTACATAAGGTCGCTATGAGTCGGAGACGACTCGACAGCACCGAACAACAACAACATGCCTATATCTGACTGACTAATCAGCCAACTTGGGACTCATCTAAACTACTGTACTAAATAGAGAGTTTAGGTAAATGAGAATTTGCCTAAATATTTGTAAGCCATTAGTAATCAAGTATAGATAAGGCAACCAGAGAAAACAGAAGTTCCAGAAGTCTCTTTATTTGCCACTGTGAGAAAGGTAAGAGTGGGAGAATGGACATTTGTAAGGAATCTGTAAGTTTAGAAGTAGCAATTTCATAAGGTAGCACTTATGAAAAATAAGAGCAGATTAGGGTTGCTGTTTGTTATGGAAAATGAAAGGAATCAATAACAGCCACCCTGTTTGTTGTCTTGATGTCTAGATTGCAAAATGACATCATTGTCATATGGCCATTTAACATTAATATTGTTCATGTTTTTGTTAAGGCAGCTAAGAATGGAGCAACAGGTGTGGAGTTGGACCTTGAATTTACTTCTGATGGGATTCCTGTCTTAATGCATGATAGCACAGTAGACAGGACAACAGATGGGACTGGCCAATTGTGTGATTTGACATTTGAACAAATTAGAAAACTTAATGCTGCAGCTAATCACCGGCTGAGGTAAGTGGTTACTTAAACATATCTCACTTTTGCTTGTAGATCACAAATGAACACTCACCAAACTAAACACTCTGCCATCCAGTCACTCTGACTCATGGCAACTCCCATTGGGTTTCCAAAGCTGTAAATCTTTATGGAAGCAAACTGCCCTATGTCTCTTCCATGGAGCAGCTGGTGGGTTCAAACCATTGACCTTTGGGTTAGCAGGCAAATGTCTTAACCACCACCCCACCAGAGCTCCTGCACGTGAATACTGGCACCTTCTAATTACACCTTCTGCCCCAGGAAAGTTTTTTTGCTTCGTTTTGAACTATGTACAGGTTTCCCAGTTAGCAGGTGCCAGAAACAACAGAAATATGGTGTGCATAGGTTTTTAGTCTTCCTGCTGTTAGCAAATGTGATCGTGGAATTTTATTCTCAACATACTAGTCAACCTAGTCATTAATATGACAATTAACTTTATGTGGTCATATAAATTACAGAATCATGAGACTGAAAGCAATTCCAGAGGTTTATTTGTCAATCTTCTTGCCTTCAGGCACACCAAAAAACAAATTACATGTTTTTTCAAATCTTCTAGTAATATCACCACCTTTTAATCTAGCCTTTGTACTCTTCAGATACTTAAAACAAACTTACGTGGAATCATAGAATTCTAAGAGCAGAAAGTAACCTAGAATCATCTAGAACAGAACATTTTGCAATGATGAAAATGTTCTATATCTGCACCATCCAATATGGTAGCCACATATGGCTATTGAGCACTTGAAATGTAGCTAGTGCAACTGAAGAGCTAGATTTTTTCTAATTTTAAAAATTGTGGTAAATATAAATGTAACAAAACACTTGCCATTTCAACCATCTTCCTATGTACAATTTAGAGACATTAATTATTATCTTCATGTTGTTCGACTGTCACCCTTATCAGAGGAACTGAATTTTAAATTTTACATAATTGTAATTTATATAGCCATATATGGCTGCCATATTGGACAGTGCAGATCTAGACTGATCCTGCTTTTAAAGATAATTCCTGAAACGCTAAACGACTTACTCAAAGTTAGAGAAGCAAACACTAGAATCTAGATATCCTACTTTCTAGTTCAAAGAAACTTCCACCATATCGCTTGCACTCACTGTCTCTCAAAACTGTAAGAATGAAAGTTGTTTCAGATGTCTAGTTTAATCCTCTCAGTATCATTTAAACCAGTAGTTTCCAAAGTATGTACAGCAGAGCTAGTCCTATAAGATGTTCCATAAGAAAAGGGTTCTATGATTAATTAAGTTTGGAGAATACTACTCCGAATGTCCCTTCTGAAGATAGACACATCAATAAATTTCTACCTTCACTGTAATTTAGTGTTTCTCATACTTACATGATGTGACCATAGAACCCACACCTTCTCTACTATGTCACACTTAGAAAAATCCTTGAAATTGGTATGATCCAAACTAAATCCAAAGCCATCAAGTTGATTCTGACTCATAGCAACCCTATAGGACAGAGTAGAACTGCCCCATAGAGTTTCCAATGCTGTAATTATGGCAGCAGACTGCCACATCTTTGTCCCAGTGACTGGTGGGTTTTAACTGCTGGCCTTTCAGTTAGTGGCTGGGCACTTTAACCACTGCACCACTCCTTGGAATTGATATACTAGGTAATATACTTTAGGATGTAGTTATTTAACTCCTCTTCTCTTGTCTTTTTAGTAACACTGTAAAATGCGCAGTGTTGCGTGCCGTCACATCAATTCCGACTCATAATGACCCTATATAACAAAGTAGATCTGCCTTATAGGGTTTTCTAGGCTGTAATCTTTTCAGAAGCAGATCTCCAGGTCTTTTCTCCTATGGCGTGTCTGGTGGGTTCAAACCACTGATCTTGGAGTTGGTGGCCAGCACTTAACCATTGCACCACCAGGGCTCCTGGTGCTCACTGTTATTTATGTTATATCAGTTCTCTGGACAATGATCAGTACTCCTGAGTATATTCACTCCAGCAATTAAGTATAGTCCTCCTTAAAAGATAATCATCATCCCTGTTTGCCTACAATCTTAAAAAAAATTAAAGCCAGCTGAGGAAAACCATACTGTAGGCTGGAAATAATATTAATAGCACTTAGCATTTCTCAGTCTAGGTTGCTGGAATTGGTCTTTATTGTCATCAGGTATTTCATTGTTCTATAGTATATAAGGGAAAGGCTGGTTTTAATATACAGTGACCTATAGCTAAATTGACGGCAGTGATTTTTTTTTTTTTTTTAAATATAGTTATTAAGATGTCAAGTCTAAAGTCAGCACAAAGCAAAAGATGGTTAGGATCAACATCATCTTTAAAAGTCTTTTAAGAAGGCACCATTTCAGAGTCAATATACCATCTTAATAACTTAACAGCCTTTGCTCCAAAAGTGGAAAAGCTTGCATTTTCTTTGAATATCAGATGAAATAATTGCTTGTGTTTAGGGACCATATTGTAGGAAAAATAGGTATTTTTTCTATAATTATTTTCAGTGTGGTGAGACAGCTCACCAAGATGGAGCATGGTAACTAAAACCAGCCGGTGGATCAGCAGATCCAGCTCTCCCTTCTCTCACTCCCCAGGGACAGGCATTAACCAGAATGGCTGGCAGAATTGCCATTTAAACGATCTTTATCATCTTTTTTAAAATAAACAAGATCTTACAGTTGAAATAATGTAGTTGAACTATTGTTGTTGTTATGTGCCATCAAATCGTAGTTGAATTAGCTTAAGTTAAATCATGTATAATTAAATTTGACTGTGTAAGAAAAAGCAGCTTTCTTATGTATCTGGCACTTACCCTTCATTTTCTTTACTCAAATTGTATATTAGAAATTTATTTTAACAGTTACACTTAAAATAAATGGACAACAATAAAATTGACAGATTTGAGTATTCCCAGGAATTTGTCCTGCATAGGGCAATGACAACGTTAAAATGAAATCTCTGAGGTCTCCAAATATGACATATTCTGCCCATGGTCAGACAGAGTTAGTAATTATGTTATTAATTTAGTGGAAATTGAGTGAATTCCTAAACATTAAATGTTTTTTGTTGTTGTTGCTGTTTGTTGGTCAAATTTTCGTTGGTAATTTTGTTCAAATACAGTAGTAATTATCCTTGGACTTTGGTATGGTTGAAGAAAGGAATTTGGAGAAAGTATTCTTTCCTTTTGGTTGGGAGACATTTGCAAAATGTCTGTTCCACTAAACTTTTCTCTTTTTCCAACAACCTACTACTTCCGTTTCCCTCTCTTATAGGAATGATTTTCCTGATGAAAAGATCCCCACCCTGAGGGAAGCTGTTGCAGAGTGCCTAAACTATAACCTCACAATCTACTTTGATGTCAAAGGCCATGCAAATATGGTACAGTTTATACCATGGACTTCACTTTTTTAAAAAGACATCTTATTTAGTTGCTAGTCATTTCTAAGATTAACCATGTATTTTATTATTTATTCTTTTTTCTTAAGTTATTTTTACAAATTATGTTTGCTTAATGGAAGTATACAATGCAAAAATCTACATCCTTAAGGAAACAGTGAATTATGGAATTGCACCTTTTATTTTTAATCCTGTTTTCTGCAACCAGTACAAAGGGGTTTATTTTAGTTGCATAAAGAATTTACCCCCAAACCAAACCCATTGCTTTCAAGTTGATTCCAACTCATAGTGACCCTATAGGACAAAAAATAAATACCCTATAGTGGTAGCATAGTGCCTAAGGCACTTGACTGCTAACCGGAAGGCTGGTGGTTCAAACCCACCAGCCACTCCTCAGAAGGAAGGTTGAGCAATCTACTTCCATAGTGATACTGCCTGGGCAACCCAAGGAGGGGTCGCTATGAGTCAGGTCCGACTCGATGACACATAACAACAACAACATAGAGTGTCCAAGGCTGTAATCTTTATGGAAGCATACTGCCACATACTTCTTCCATGGAGCAGCTGTGGTTTCAGACTGCCAACATTTTGGTTAACAACCAAATGCTTAACCACTGTACCACCAGGGCTCCTTAAAGCATTTACAAAAGATGTTAAATAGTAAAGAGGGACCTCTGGAACAGACTGTTCAATCTCATCAAAAGGAATTCACAAGTTGAACACAGGACCAATTGCATCTGCCTGTTAAGTGTCTTAGATGAACAGTTATGGACTACGTTGAAAGAAAACTACCTTATTTAAATCTTCTGAAAGCTAGTAGAATATCGTTTATATAGATTTACTTCCTTTTATATGATTTCTGATACAGTTTTGTTATTCTGGGATTTGTATAGTTATACTTTTATCAGAAAACTACTGTATTTCGTTTAAATATGTATAACATTCCTATGGTTTAGTGAATTACTTGATATGGCTCTTCTAGCTATGGTCTTCGTGACTCGCACCAGATTACTGAGTGGAACTATGCAAATGTATGGTGCTTGTGGACCGCCAAGGTGATTGGCTAGGTTGCTAGTAATGTAAATAAGGTACATGGCACTCTTGTGGGGATGGAACTGTACAAATAAGGTGTCTGGAGTCCTAATGTGGGGATTGGTCAGTTTTGTCATTCTGTTAGGCTTAAAATGAATCCTTCCAGTTTGCTTGGGAAAGGGAACTCACTTTGTAGGTTACTGGGATGGGGAGGGAAGGAGAGAGATTAATTTCAGACTAGTTGGGGCCCACCCACTGATGTGGGTAGGGGGAAGGGTATACAGAAAGGATCTGTGACCACCATGATAACATTAGGAAATGGGAGGACACCAAATTGTGCACATAAGAGATAGACGACTGATGCTAATACCAACCAATGTGTCCACAATACTACATTGCCATTAACACCAAACACCAGGTTACAGATAAACACGTAAACACCTGAGATGATGAGACGGGGGTCAGTGACCACAAGTATACTCTAGAACAAAGATAGATTCAGCTGAGGCTAATCTTGCACAGATACCAGTAATACAAAAAACCTGCAATCCTTACAGAAACAATAGAAGACAGACACAGAGTAATCCCTTACAGACAACCAGACACTATGGGAGAGAGATCCAGTAGAAATGCCATCTCAGGATCATAGTATTGGGGGGCACCAGACTCAGTTGGCACAACAAAATACATAAAAGCCTTATCCTGCATCCTACATTGGTGAGTAAGACTGGGGTCTTAAAAGCTTTCAAGTGGCTATCTATGATGCAGCTAATGATCTCCTAGCATCAGAAGCAAAGAAGAATGCAAAAAAACAAGGGCATTTGGAAGCAATCAGCCCTAGGACACAATGGCCCTCAAGACCAGAAGAACTAGAGGTGCCTGGCTACCAATGCCAACCACTCAGGAAAGGATCAAATCTGGAGATCCTGGATAGTGTGGGAGGAAAAACGTGGAACAAAATCCAAAAGCTCAATAATGACCAGAATTACTGGTCAGATGAAATCTGATGAGACCCCCAATACTATGGCCCTGGAATACATTCTGCTCCTGGAATAAAACGCACCCCCAAGGGTTGGCTCTCAGCCCAATAGTTAACAAGATGTACATGCAGACTACTCAACCCAAGATGATGTACCTACATACTCTATGGTAATACATCCCTTAGCGCAATAGACCACAGGGGACCAGAGGACCAACATTCAAATTGAGGAAGTGCAGAGCAAATGAGAGTGCATGAGTATAGGGGCCACAAGGGGAGTGTTGCGGGGTGGAGAGGGGAGGAGACTGGGTTGGGGTTAGACATGGTGAAAGGGGAGTGAAACTAAATGTACACGTAACGTTGAATATAAAACAAGCTTTTAAAATAAAAAAAAAAGAACCCTTCCAGAGGCAGAAGGGGGGATCTCACTGCCATCAGGAGAGAAGAGCCAGAGGTGAAGTAGAGAACATCAGTGGACCTGGGATCCCTGAGCTGGACCTACTTGGCAGAGAGACTGGCAGAGAGTTGGCAGAGATAAGACGGCAGCAGGACCAAGAGGTACCACACAGCTGTAGGCTTTCCTGCCCACAGAGTCAGAAAGCTGAGTGCCTTTGGGCTGGAGGCTTGCTGACATGGAGTGGGGTACACGTAGGTACCCCTATCAGCAGAGCTAAAAGATCTTTGTAACACTTGCCCAAGCAGAGCAGAGACCAGGTGGAGAGTTCCAGGACCAAAGAGAGGCATGCCTGAGGTCAACATGGCCAAGGGAAAGCTGTCCTGATCAACTAATTGTATCCTGAGCATTCCTGAACCTGAATTGTAACCTGTTACTTCCCTAATAAACCCCATAATTGTGAGTATTGTGTGTGAGTTCTCTGTGGCCATTACAACAAATTATTGAACCTAGCAGAGAAGCAGTGAGTGTTGGGTTCAGTTGGTATCAGAATCAGTAAGAAGGCTGGAGGGTGGTGGCACGTCTGGCCTCATAGAAATAAGCTTTGGGCTTCTGATGATGATTCTTTCTCCCTCTTGTGAGATTAGAGGAGGTCTGGTGAGGATGCTGCTCCCATATCCTTTTGCAATTCTGGAATGAAAGTTTGCTTAAATTTTAGAGCATGTACTTCTCAAAAACATGCCATGGAAGTGAGTGGGAAAATAAGGTGTTTAGAGAGCATTGTTCATCACATTGAACTTACTCTCTTATAACCAGCTTTTCAACTATAAATACTTCTTTTGCCATTTGGACAAAGAGGTATTTTTTTTTTTCCAGTAATAGTTATAACCAATAATGACCATCTACTGGTTGAAAATTCTGATAATGTAATTAAAAAAGAATTAATCCTAGCTTATAATTTAAGCCAATTGCCCTTAAAATTTAAAAATGTAAGCCTAAAGATGTACTCTTAATTTCATACAGTAACTTCCTGTTTTTTGAAGAAAGGAGGGAATGGTGCTCTGGTTAATTTACTGTGCTGGTTAGCTTATAGTTGTTTATTGTCCAGGTTTTCCATTTGGTTTATATAACAGTCACTTGGTGTACCTGTTAAAAATACAAATTCCTAGCCAGATCACCTAGAAAAGAGATTCTGAAAGTGTCTAGAATGGGGTCAGAGGAACACATTTTATTTATTTATTTTTTATTGTGATTTGGTTGAAGATTTACAGAGCAAATTCACTTTCCATACAGCAGTTCACATATACTTTGTCTCATGTCATTGACCACAGTT